TTAATATAAACAAAGGGGACCAAGCGTAAACATTCCCATCGATACTCCTACACCTTTACTCCGAATTCAAGCCCTTATTATAAACACTTAATGATCGTTAAACGTATAATCGTAATCGATCATCTTTTTCATATAAACAAATGCATAGGAATTTGTCCCGGTCTTATAATAAACAAAACCACCAAGACCGATTCCCGTGGAAACGCTTAATCATCAATATATGCAAACCCTACTCGCGATCACAACTCCCACCTCGTATTAATAAGAATTAACTTTGTAATTAGAATAAGTATTTAAAATTATTGTCAGTAAAACGTTAATATAAGGAGCATAGTCTCATAAAACCCTAAGACGAGCATAGTCTCAGCAGAAGACCAAGTAACGAATAAAGTTATGTAAAACCAAACGAATTTCATTAAATTTCCAACTATTGAGACTCCACAACGACAACAAGAGAAAATATTCCACTGTGTCCAAAATTCCATCCCTGGGACACGACATATTAATATTCTTGAAACCAATTATAACAAAACCAGTTCGAAGACAATGACAAAGAAGAAATATTTCTAATGATGATAATCATCATTGTAATGAAGATCTTAAAAAAGAAAACATGAAATTTCCATGAAGATATAAGCAACTGGCTGGCCGAATTGCAAAGTTTCATAATAAAATAATAACAGATGATGTCGATCCCGAAGGCCATTTAAAGACCAAGTAAAAGAAAAATATGTAAAATAAAACATTTTGATGAATTAGCGAATGATCACACTTTTGGTAGTATGGATAACTTTCGAGTCAATATTTATGTTTTTTGATATAATTATAAACAAAGTAGATAATTATGAGGTTGTTGTGTCCAACCATTATTAATATAATTGTTATTGTTAATAGAGTGTATAAACAAACTATATATAAGAGACCTCGCTCAACGAGTTTAATCCGTTCCAAAATTTTCGGATTTTTACTCGTATAGTGAAAAATGCACATAATATGTGTACACAAGTTTTAAAAATGATTTAGCAGGCGCGCAATCCGGCACTTCTCTTCTCATAATCACTCATTATGCGAAACGTCGCGTCGCGTTTTCTTACAATTCATTTTCAGAAAAATAAGTAAAAAAAATATATTTTGATGACTTAGTGAATAATCACCGCTTTGGTAGTGGATGACTTTCGAGTCAATATTTAAGACATTTTTAAAGGATGTATGAGGTTTCAGATTCCTTTCTTTGTAGCTACAAAATTAATTAAAATTAAACATATAGATATTACAAGTTTGTACAAATTGTTACAGTCGATAAGGCCAATAGCCCTTTAGTCGCATGAATTTATTTATTTATAAATAATTATTGTCTTTCTGTATATTTAAATAATTTATATTTACTTTGATTTTTTGTTTAGCTATTTAATTATTATTATATATTAATAAAAAATATCTACATAAAACAATTGTAAAAGGGACCAGAATTATATTTTGCGCGAATAGTTGTAATGAGTAATTTTGTTTTTTTTTCAATTATCATTTATACATTAATAAATATATATGTAATAAATTTATGTTGCATTAATATTTTTATGTTGGCTGAGAGACTTTTTATAAATAGCCCTTTGTAGTTTAATTTAGTTTTATTTTTGTTATTATATTATTGTTTTAAGTTTATATTTTGATAATTTGTTGCAATAAATATTATTAAACATAAAATTATTAAATTTATGAAATTTACGTTTCATAAAATTATGTAAATACCGAAAATCATTTACGTTTCATGTGTCCACTTTCTCTTCCTTTTAAAATCATCATAAAATATAAGATTTCTTGGACTCAACCCTAAGTTCATTCTTCGTTTTCTTGGGAAACATATTTTATTACCTCTTAGCCATTGGCTATGTACACTTATTTTATTATATTTTCAACTGAATTTTTGATTTATAGCAATTCCATAATCTTTGTTTTCTAAGAATATTTTATTCATTCAATTCCAAAAACTTCCTTACTTTTGGGTTCAAACTGAAAGTATATAACTTCTTGCTAAACTAAAAATCTTTTTTTCTGCGAAAAAATATTTTCTTGAATAGAGATATTTTATTTTTTCAATTTATAAATACAAAAATTACAATGAATTTCAAATGTAAATTATAAAGACTAATACGTAGAAATTAAAAAATTAAATCATTTATTTCATTAAACTAACATATTGGAAGTTCATTTAAATAATGGAGTTAATTATTATTTATTTATTTTGGCCCGTTGCTATGTTCCATGTTTATTTCACAAATTTTGCTATAATTCAAAAAAATTCAAATAATATACTTACTATTTTAAATAATCAATAGTATATTTAATTAATTGAATGTATTAAAAATTAAAATATTTTTTTTATGATAGTTTTACCATTATTTGTAAAATTTTATTTTTTAAATTTAATTTACTTAAAATGTATACTTTTTAATCTGATTTGCGAAATAAAGAAATACAGTGAAACCTCGCATAACAAGCAAAATTAATTGTAAGAAAAATGACTCAATTAACGAGCGACGTTTCGCATAACGAGTGACGATGAGAAGAGAAGTCCCAGATTGCTTGCCTGCTATTTAAAACTTGTGTACATATATTATGTGTATTTTTGAATATGTTTCACTATACGAGTAAAAATCCGGAAATTTTGGAACGGATTAAACTAGTTAAGCGAGGTTCCACTGTATATGTCACAAAGATTTTCCGAACGAATCAATTTATGACGCACCAAAAACAGTTCAGAAAATAAAATTATTCCTATTGCTAGAACTAAAATAAATAATAATAATTGTTGAAATAATGTAAGTATTTAATCTTATACCAATAATTAACCCTTACGAAAAAAACTTAAACGGAAGGACAACTTTCTTAGCATTTTCGGCATATTTTCAAAGTAGAATTCGCTGGATCGCGAAATTCTAACCACCGCGAATATCAAAACTCCTTCAGAGTTTTCATAGTATCATCTGAAACTTCGGCCTCCGAGCTCGAAATTCACGATGTCTCGTTAAATAAAGTTACTTCCTCCGTGTCCTCATCCCAAACATTGATTAGATCATCAAAATATATACATTTCTCTGACCCGCAAAGTTTATTTGTATGTAAAGATACAGACTCTACAGATAAATACTCTTGGAAAGTATGTGTGTGCGTACAAGATTTTTTTATATACAATAATTTGAACTTAACATATCACTTATCCACTAAGTAATACTTACATTGTAAATATTTTGTTACTTATTTTACTCTTTTTGCAATGTTTGCTTTATTAATTGCATTTATAATAAAGTTTGTTGAAAATATTTTAAATATTTTATAAAAAGCCACACAAACATTTTCACGAGTCAAATGTATAAAATATAATTATGAAGAAGAAAATAATTATTTCAAAATTTTAGTAATAAAATTCAAATATTATCAAAATATTTTTATTAATAAAAAGTATAGTAACATCTAACGAAAAACTGGTAAAATTTAACGGCGTACATTTTACGGTTAAGGGGAAAAAATAAAACAAAAATTTTTATGGAAGCTATGGGAAGCCGCACTTGATTCAACGAAGAGCCGCATGCGTTTCTTGGAAGCACATTTCTCTTAATAGATATGTTGCTAATCTCTAGGCCTAAATTATTGCTAAACTAAATCATAGCTTTTTTTAACAAATGCAAATAGCTACCATTAAAATCCTTAATTTTTCTACCTCATGGTCATAGTAATACCAACATGAGATATAAGGATTTAAATTGTTAAACAAACATTTGATGATTGGGTTGCCTATATTAAATAATAAAATTGTCGATTTTTTTATACAAATTACACGGGTTAAAGTAGCAATAATGTAAATTAATATTTGAATACATCAAAGTAATATATAAAATATATTAAACTTCTAATAATAATACAAGTGGAAACTTTTATTTGTATATCGCTTTTAAAAACAAAACAATTTCAATTGTAATATTATTATTTATAGAAATTTCATAATATTATACCTGTATTCATTGTAATTAGTAAATAATGAGTTTATAATGATGTCGTCCAGGTTAGCCAACATGAAATATAGTGTATGTTTTGTTTTTTTTGGTTGGTGAACCTGGTTAGCTTGTTATATACTTTGATGTCCTCGCAGCAGACGTCATTCCAGTCCTGGTGTCATTGCCTGGTTCATGTTAAGTTATTAACAAAAGTTTTTTAGTTAGTATAAGTGCATTAACATCAGTTTACTCACGTTCTTTAAAAGTAAGTTAACACCATCCATATACATTCAATAATATTATAATTCACGAAGCAGTTCTACAGATTCGGCAAATACAGGCGTTATCGCAAAAATACATGTCTTTTTTATGTATATCGCAACGAGATACGCAACTATAGTTTAAAGCTGATGCTTTTGTTTTGCTTATTAAGCACATTCTCTAATTATTTTGTTTTGCAGATCTAGGTGGAAGATGTGGTCCACAACACAGAAGAAGAATGCAAAATCTCAACCACAGCAACAACAGCAGCAACAAAATCCCATAACACTGGGTATGACCTCAGCAATTTCCATTGCTTTACCAAAACCACAGGATATAGCGAAATCTCTTGAACTAGAAGAAGCACTTAAACCCTATGATGTTTTTGAAACTGAACAGGAGCTAGGTCACCGTATGATGATACTCAGTAAACTGTTTGAATTAGTAAAACAATGGATTAAAGAAGTGTCTATTGCTAGGAATATGCCCGAAAATGTGGCTGAGAATGTGGGTGGTAAAATTTATACATTTGGCAGTTATCGTTTAGGGGTAAGTATTATTTCCACCATTATTAATTCATTGATCTCATATGTGTTTTTCTTAATTTTAGGTGCATCATAAAGGTGCTGATATTGATGCTTTGTGTGTAGCACCAAGACATATTTACAGAGAAGATTATTTTAGTACATTCTTTGAATTATTGAAACAACAACCAGAAGTGACGGAATTGAGGGTATGTAAACAGTTTTGGTGCTTTGTCAATTTATATAATTAATAATTTTAGGCTGTAGAAGAAGCGTTTGTACCAGTTATAAAAATGAACTTTGATGGAATAGAGATTGACATGCTTTTTGCACGTCTTCTTATCAAAGAAATTTCAGATACCATGGATCTGCAAGATGATGTGCTGCTTAAAAACTTAGACCAGAAATGTGTCAGAAGTTTGAATGGCTGTCGTGTTACAGATGAGATTCTCAGGCTTGTTCCAAATATTGATAACTTTCGGTTGGCTTTGAGAGCAATCAAATTGTGGGCTAAAAGTAAATAGCAAATTATTTATTCTAACTATTTTGTTATTAACAACTTTCTTTTTTAGAGCATGGCATATACAGCAATGTTTTGGGATATTTGGGAGGAGTTTCATGGGCAATGTTGGTGGCGCGTACTTGTCAGCTATATCCAAATGCAGCACCTGCTATTCTTGTGCATAAGTTTTTCTTAGTGTTTTCACGTTGGAAGTGGCCACAACCTGTTTTGCTAAAACAGCCGTCAAGCATAAGTCTCGGCTTTCCAGTTTGGGATCCCAGGGTTAGTATTATTTACAACTTTTAATGCATTCCTTCCTAACGCATTGTTATTTGTTATAGGTAAATATTCAGGATAGGTATCATCTCATGCCTATCATTACTCCAGCATATCCTCAACAAAACTCAACATTCAATGTATCAGTTTCAACGCGATCCATTATGGTTGAGGAATTTAAGTCTGGTCTTCAGATTACTGAAGATATTATGTTAGGTGCTCATGGGTGGGATCGTCTGTTTGAACCTCCACCATTCTTCATGAAATATAGGCACTTTATAGTTTTATTAGTGAGCGCTCCAACACCAGATGACCACTTGGAATGGTCAGGTTTAGTGGAGAGCAAAATAAGATTGCTTATTGGTAAGTATATTCTTTTTAGTGAAAAAGGAAACAGGTTTTCTAAATATTATGTTATATATTATACAGGTACTTTAGAGAGGAATCCGCACATAATGTTGGTGCACATAAATCCAGAGAGTTTCAGCCATCTAGAATCTCAGAGCGATTCAAATAACACATGCAGTCTCTGGTTCATTGGACTGGATTTTGCAAAGACAGAAAATCTCAATGTCGATCTAACTTTTGATATCCAGCAATTTACGGAGAACGTGAATCGCCATGCAATTAACATAAAGATGTTGAAGGAGGGGATGAAACTCGAAGCCAGGCATGTGAAGAGGAAACAATTATCACAATACTTATCACCTAGTATTCTGAAGCGCGAGAGGAAGACGAGCAGCAATGCCAGTGTCAAAAATGGAAGCGAATCTAGGAAGCGGACGTCTGATGGTGGGTCTGCGGAAGGTCCTGTTCCAAAGAAGACTAGGATTACTGAGGAGGTACAAACACAATCGGTAAGTCATCTTTTCTTATAATTGTAAAGAAAACAATTTTAATATAAATATAAGTAATCATGAAATAATAATTTATTTATTTTCTATTATAGTTTGAAGATACATCTAATGCATCTCTAAATGATGACTCCAATAGTAATTTAAGTCTCACTGACGAGCACTCATCATCGACCAATATGCCTCAATCTGCTGACAGCACAACACAGGCTGTTTGTACATGATGATGCCGCCCACCGTCGCATCCAGCCATGCTTAGAGCGACATCCACATCAAAACTAACACCAAATGTAAGACATTGGTAAAGTGATATTTCTCGTTAGTATTACGAAAGATTCCAAAAAAAAAAGTTAAAAGTAAAGTTATGCGAGAAAGTCGCTCGCGTTGATTTTTTTTAAGTTTATAGTTGCACTTATTATATAGTACTTAATTTCATTTTCCGTTACATGCATTCGTTGCGCGTTGGAATCTTTTTAGTTTTTTTTGTGTGATAAAAATGAAGTAGGAAGTGTTTCAAGTATATTTTCAGGTCCCGACAGCAACAGCCCGACTTCCTTGACTCTCATGTATGTATACCCATTACAGCAAGTGAACGCAAATCAATGAAATGCAAGATCACGAGTGCATTTTTCCTTGTTTTGTCATTAAAAAAAAACACAACAAAAACATTAACAAAACAAACAAACTATATTTTTAAAGAAACTTCGAAAAGGAAACACGCTGTATATATATGAAATTTGTTGTACGTTTTAATTTTGTTCACGAGTCGGGTCTTTTTGGCGCTGAAAAGTCGAAACAACGGTTATTTATCCATATTTGGATTAAACTAATGAATCATAAGGAACCTATTCTTTCGTTCTGTATAAATGTGTATTTGTATATCTAAGAAGGAAAATATTATCCGTAGATTTTCATATAATTCTTTTTTGTGTGATTATGTGCGATAATATTTTACTCTTGCTATTTCGAACTCCATATTACTTTTTTTTACTTATTACTCGAGTTACAATTCCATACTTGCTTCGTTTTTATTACTTTTATTTTTCGCTGACACAATTGATTTTCTTTTTTTTTAATCAACTGACATCAGTTTAATTAGTTTATTTTTACCATAGTTATTTTTTTTTCGCTAAATTATTTTTTTATCGTGTGATGAGGAATAAAGAAACGTTTATATAAGAATTATTATTGTAATATTATTATTCAATTTTAGTAGGTATAATTTATCAGTTTGGGAGAACTTTCCAATTTTTTTTAAAATCATATTGAAAAGAAAAACAAAAAAAAATAAATAAAAGTATAATAAATAATTAATTATATATATACATATAGATATTTATAAAAGCAAAAGTTAATACGGAATTTGATTTAAAGGTTGTATCATGTTTTTATTAATCGTAAATTACCTTTATGTTTATTGTATATACCAATATAATATTTAAAAGAGATTCGTGTTTACGAGAAATTCAATTTCGGTAAAAATTTTGAAGATAAACAAATATAACCATGAATGAATGAATACTCGCATCGCGTGTGTGTGTGTGTGCGATACAACTTAAAAACCTATCTTTACGGTGCATATATATTTTTTTTATAGATTCTTATTTTCTCTTTTTTCATTGTTGCATTGTAAATATATTTGTTCAGACATGAATTAGTTATTGCTGAAATTTTTATAAAATTTGGGGGCGTACTCTTAAATTTCAGACGAGAGCATAGATTTCCAAAACATACTAAATCGCAGACATTTTCATTTTATTTTTCGTTTACTTTATTTTATTTTTTTTGTCAAACTTTGTATCCGAATATTTCTATGAAATATATTTTTTAACACCCCTACATCAAAGTTTTATTTTATTTTTATATTTTATTATCTACTATTATTTCCCTATATTCCTTATGAATGTCCTTTTTATCTATTTTTTTTTCGTATTATGTTTAAAAGACTATTAGAACACAGGGTTTATTTTGTAGCATATCATTAATTATAAAAAATTTACTAACATATAGTTCTATTACTGGTAGAACCTTGCTTTCTAGTTTCCATTAGGTGCTTCATAACAGGACATTTAAGGAAAACCAAGGATGTTATTCTTTATCGATCAAAGCGCTCATATAAAATGCGCAATTCTAGTTTGAAATGACTTGAATCAGACATATTCCCCTATCCCCTGAAAATAACAATTATTGAAGTTTGGATATTGTACATTCGTTTCACTGAAAAGCCCAGTAGCTTGAATGGTTAATATATAAGGAAATATAGTGATAGTAGTCCAATAAATATCTCTTTATTTTGTTATTTTAATTTATGATCTTATTGTCATAAGTTATCCAAATAAACTAAAATTTATATAATCTGTGTTTTATTGCTTAACATATAACAAGGTAAATAAGGCGACACCCTTTTAAACAATAGTGTTTATTGGAGTTTTTAAACATATTTAAGATAATCGAAATTGAATGCTCTTAATAAGTGTAGGTAACTATAATTAAATGGCAAAATATAATTGTTTGCTTGCAAATTAAGTGGCAATATTGCAGGATCATAAATAAGATCGTCATATTTCGGCAATTTTCGTAATTCGTTTGCAGACTTGCTGGGTGTTTCACCCTGACATGAGGTTGACGTGCTGAGGTGGCGGCATAATGTCATTAGGATGCTCTGCATTCCACATGGATGACAACCATAAGGCTCTCAAGGATATGTCGTTCCAGGACAGAACGTTCCCAAACCACGGAGAGGATTTGCTACGTGTAGGTGTATCGGTTTTCCTCAGGAAAGTTATTGTGTGTTTGGTCGGTACATTTCGTTTGACCTCATTACCAAAGTACCAAGCTATATCCTCTATATTCCATGAATCCAGTTTGTTGGAACACTATAAATATAAACTAGTTATTAGATCTAAATAATCTCGAAGAGATTAACACTTACACTCTTATCTTTGTATTGTACGAGTTTGGCCTGTAGGAACTCGAACATGAACGGTTTCATGTTTTTGCTTTTGTGATCGGCGAACTTGAGCTCCGCTTGTAATGGCAACGAGTTGTTATTGAGAATTTCAAAATATTTACTTATTTTGTTGATTATCAAACAGTTATCTTTACGATCGTTGTCATCCCAGTAGCCCCATTTCAACACAACATCCAAAACCTATGAATAGATCGGATCAATAAACAGATTCAAATCATTATCAAATATTTACCTTCGCTTTGTGATGTAGAGGTCTGCACAAACTACCATTCAACACGGATTCTTCGAGCACTAATTCGTTGACTGGTATTTTTAAGTCCAATCCGACTTCGCAAATAATCTCGTACGCCGTTTTATGTGGTCCGATCTAAGAAAACACTTGTAAAACAAATTATCAACTATTTAACAATTGTCCATACCAAAATATTACGGGTTTTGCCTTCCTTGGAAAAGTCGTAAACCCAAACGCGGAAATCACCGGAGGACTTAACGTTGACAGCACCTTGAGGTGACTGGTTGTATTTTTCAAGAACCGAAAGCATTTTCATTTCTTGTTCGATTTCTTTGTTGTCCTCAGGAAAGATATCTTTATACAATCTGATTAACTCGGTAATGATAGTATGATCTTTACCAGTTTTGTCACCTCCCTAAAAATAACATGTTAATATTGATATTAACTGACGTTCATAATGAGACTTACATCTTGATGGAGCAGTGTTGGAGCCCAAACTGCTGCTAAGTTATCTACGTGCATCAGATTTTTGTTGCTTTGAGTGCTGATGAAGTGTAGATGGCCTAATAGGAATTTAGTGGTGTTCATAGAAACCGAGACATCTTCGCCTTGGGACTGATCGAAGATGTTACGAAACATCCTAATTTTCTCATTCTTATCTTTAACTTCTACAAAGTACTCGATTATTACAAACGTTTTCGTTCATCTGCTTGTCACTTACTAGATACTTGATACAAGTATTCGATTTTCTTGTTGTCGATCAGCGGTTCCACCAGGTCACGGAAGAACCGCTTCAGTGCTGTTGCCACGTCATGGACGCTGTATTTGTGAGTTAATTGGACCGACCAGGCATCCGTTCGGAACAAGGTTATAATATCGGAAATGATTGAGTTACTTCCGGCTCGTCGATAAATACCTTCGGTCATGCTTCCATAGACATACACAAAGTTCACGCATTTTTCGACAATAACAGGAATACTGTTCTTAGTCAGTTGCTGTTGCTCTAAACTGGGTCCATTATTTTGAGCAGATAATTTTATAATGCGACACCAGGCCTTAAAACAAAACAAAAAAATGATAATTTATGAAAAAAAAGACAATTTATTATATGTTTTACTTTAGTTTCCTTCTGTGTCCACATTCGAAAGTAGTATGTACCGAAAGTAAAGTGGATAACTAAATTTGGGCCTCTGTCAGTCGTGGATGGGGTGTTGCTGAAATCTTGCACAGCTTCCAACTTGAAACACCGAGCTTTCCTTAGATCCAATGTATTTGTTGGTAAATTATCTTTCGCAAATATCAATTCCCTTTTACTTAATACCAGCCAGGCTCCTACCCATTGGCCGTGCAGACCTTCCTTCATGTAAGTCCATCCGAATCTCGTGAAATCTGATGTCACTTTAGGAAGAAACCGACTCGTCAAGTTTTCCGACAACTTCTGCATCCAAACTCTTCTCTCCGAGAAACTTTTTGTACCAAATATATGTTTATCACGTAATTTACCAGCGACGTTTAGCTCGAAGGAGTGGAGCTCCTCATTTTCGCATTTGTGCTTGTGTTTCTGCTCCTGCAGTATTTGAATACTAATTATGGAATCCATAGGTATATTCTCCTTAATGTTATCCGACATGGTATCAGAGTATGCTATAAAAGTTCCGCTTTGCAGAACGCACCATCTGCTGCTGAACTCCCCGAATAGATCCTCAACAGGACCACTTGTGATCTTGTATAGCATACCCTTTTGTTGTATGATACCTCTGGGAGATAATGTCGGCCTTTGGATAACATTATCTTTATTTTTAAATCCCTTCACCAGCTCAACTATTTCCGGTGCTTTCTTCAACAAGTTCTGAGCTTTGTTTAGCCAAGCATGCGCCCGTCCTTCGCTCTTAGTCGTCTCCACATGGTCTCCGTCTATAAACCAATTGGTTCGACTATTTTCATTGTTAGATTGGCTTTCTTCAGACAAAGAGTCGAATCGAATAGGAGGTGGAGGAGGCGGCGGATTAATGTACGTTTCTTCGTCACTGGCTTCGTCGAATAAACTGATGTTGTCTATGCTAATGTTACCGTAAAGTTCACCTTGAAGCGATTTCTCCAGCTCATTCAAATCGCTTCTTCCCGTCATGGAGGCTGCATCATTGTTATTCTGTAGTGGATCGAATTCCATCAATACGCTCGGAGTCACCACGCTCCTATTGTCGAAACTGTGAAAATTATGATACCAATGTGTGAATATAATAATTTACTCACAGAACTAATAACAATAGCTCTATTCTATTTTACAATTACAAACATAAGTCTTTAAAATATTAATATAATATATAATGGGTTGCTGACTTTTTAATTAAATAAAACCTAAATATTTAAAGTTTTAAAAATATTCTTGTATTATTTTCTCTGGCCAATGTATTTTATTACTTTGTCGGCAAAATGTCGGTTATACTTTACAATTATAATAATTCTTGGAATTGCCAAGGTCTAAACATTTATTGAATTCAAAGATTCGTCAGCATCATCAAACATAGACACATTTATCAGTAGTAATTATGTTTACATTATTTTCTAGAAATTACATGTAGTTTTGTAAATGTTTGAAATACTTTAAAAGATGCTATATGTCCAAGACATCAAAACTGTCAATAGATATGAACATTGAGATAAGATTAGAAGTATTGTTTTGAAATTATCAAGTATAAAACAGTTTTTTCTAGATTTATACAAAAAAAATCTCAATTCTATACAATACAATTCTATTGTAATGAAAAAAGTTATCTAGTACGAACATAATTTATTACATTTAGTATTCATACGTGCAACAAATCCACTTAAATCCGTATTTATAGACATGCAGAAACAATTTATATAAAAAATACGAATAGCAAAAATGTCTAGAACCTAACATAATGCAATTTATATAATTCCTTCAGCGAATATCTTCAGAATTCTGAATTTAGAATAGTCCATTGACCAAAAGACAATAAAACTACAGTAAAACCAAAAAAAACATGTAAATAGATAACATCTGGCCAAAGGGATATCGACCTTTGTCTCTTTGGCATCAGAATTCTGTTTTTAGAAAGTTGCAATCATAAATCATGTGAAGCGTCGGATGATTCCCTTTATAAAATAGGCTGGTTTCTTTGACAAATGAGGTATTTTTGATTTGAACTTGTTTTTGGTTAATAGTTTACATGTGCGGTACCTGTCAAGTTTACAAATATTAAAATCTTTACATATGAGCAAATGAAATATAGAATCGTTATAATTATAATAATATCGAAAAATAGAAATTTATTGTTATTTTGAGAATTCAAAAATAGAATAAAATCTGCATATATACAAGATTATATACAAATTTCTACAGAAAATGCGAACTATTTTTTACAATCTAAAATAATGTTTACGGTTTCAATTTGCTTTATTTTATGTTCTGTTCAGTTACTTTTATTAGAACATTTTTCACATAACTTGTTATCGAGCAACTGTATATATTAAGTATAAGTACCGCACAGAAACTTATATCTTCTGAGAACTATTCTGGATAAATACATTTTTACTATTGTAAATATACTGTTTACATCAGTTAATAACATTATGTTTACTTATATATTTTAAATAGATTGGAAACTAGTAAAGAATATTATACTGGAAATGGTATATTACAAATATGGAAAATACTAACAAATATAACATTGAATCATTTTGTCATAACAATTAAAAAATAATAATCACAAGTATACAATGAAGATAACAATTAAAGAAATAATTTATTATGTATTGTTTACACATGTTTAGTAATTAAATAAAAGCTAAAATAATACGAAATGTATATGCAAAATACTAGTTTATCTCAAATTATGTCGCGTTGCCATTTCATTAATATATTTTTTAAACAATTATTTGCATTTATCTATCTAATACCCATCACCGTTAATTTAAATCCGTTGTAGATTTCAAACTATAGATAATATAAGATTTGCAATAAAATATGATATTTCGATAGATTGTAAAATAATGTAATCAAAATGTCACATTTCATTGTTTTTTCTTTATCAAATTATGTGAAGAAAAGTACCGGATTGCGCGCCTGCTACATCATTTTAAAACTTGTGTATACATATTATGTGTATTTTTTAATATGTTTCAATATACGACTAAAAATCCGGAAATTTTGGAACGGATTAAACTCGTTAAGTGAGGTTCCACTGTACTTATGTATCAATAATAATCTAATTTTATTATAATATAATAAATGCAGTTAAACAATGTTTTCAATAAGAATGTGAATGAGACTATGAGATTCATTATGTGCAGGTAACAAAGAATAAGTCTGTTAAACGCTGGATGCCTCTGGCAAATATCGAGTATATTCAGAGAAAGCATGTTGTTCGTCCTTCGAATTGCTAAGGAAGAATAATTCACGAAACGAATTGAACCGTTCAATTTCTATAAATATCATTTGCTTCCCGATATCTATTATAAATAGCAAGATTGATGTTCGTTTAAAATGGAGCATCGATTGATTAATTTTAATTGATTGTTATGCAAGTGCTCCAGAGTTGATAATGACTTCAAATAGATATAGGTACAATGTTTCAAGAACGTTACGTTTGCGGCATCAAGGCGAATACTTTTGTATTCATTATACATTTACTTCCTATCAACAGCTATGACATTTAAAACAAAGTAATAAATCGAGCGAAGGACGACCATTAGATGTTTTTGACGTGTTTGTTTGATAAACACATGTAACCTTTTGAGTTATAGATAATGATTATTTCATTAATATTTATATAGGTAAATAATCAAAAGAACTTACGTTATTGAATGATTTTCGTAGCAGGAATTATTTCTCATGAAGAGTTTAGGTGATGGGATTTCTTCTTTCACAGCAGGTAGAACTGGTGTATTGTCAACATTGTTGTAGACAGGCTCTTGCACTGAATCATACAAGACCCAAGATTCTGACCTGGACAATGTCACACTTCTGTCTAAGGTACCTGCCGTCATATCCACACAGCTCTCAGAATCACTGTTGTAAGGATAACTAGGATAAACCGATTCATAGTTCTCGTGAACTTTCTTCGTCGCACCACCTTCTGAGCTATTTGTACTGCCCGAAGCCAAAGACTGTGGTTGATCGTAGACTTCTTCCCTTAATGGAGGTGGTGGATAGGTCGGAGGTGGTCTCTCGTAATATTCATCTGGTTCAGAGGTGTTTGAATAGATAGGCGATGTTGGAGTCCGCAGGGGCGAATCGAAATGTATGGAATTGAACATGTTTAGGTCCTCATTCTCGACGTACTCCATCTGGGAAGCACCTTCCACCTCTGATTCATCCGAGAAGTTGGTCGTAAACCTCTTGGTAATCCTCCGCATACTCTGCCTGGTGGATTCAACGGTCTCCTGCATTTTGCTTCCGATGTCGTCGGCGAGCTGTTTGGACACATTGCTTATGGATCGTACTTTTCTGCTGAACGTCGTCTTTCCATCCATCGGTTCTTGCTCCTCGTAGCTGGACTCGCTCGAGGTTTGCTCAGTCTGAATTGGGATTAAAGTTCGTGGAGCTGGTATGGGCTTCTTGCCTTCCACCTTCCTCGGAGCTGGCGTTGGTGCACTCATTTTATCCTTAGGCCATTGACCACAATAACACTAATGAATTGAATGTATATGAGTCACTTTGCAAATGCAACACGGACAAACAGACACTCGTTATCTACTATCATTTATCACAGACTTATCACAAATAAAACAATCATATATTTTTAGGACTTTTACGCCGTTTTCCAATTATCCATCCACCTTTACTTTATTGTTGGCACGTTATTCGCAATGGAATTCGGCTCAGGCTACTGACTTCTCTGCATACTGTACGGATTGTTTACACTATAATCATGGTTGCATCTCCTCTTTGTCGTCGGCATTAGTCATCTCGGGGATGCAGAAAAAAATAAGCTCGACCACTGACGTTGGCTCCATTCTCTCTCATTCACTCACTCAACTTACTCAACTAAAGTAGCGTTTGCGCACTACTATGGAACAAGGCTTCGTAACCAGCGCACTCAGCTAAATTACCTAAGCCAGAACCGTACTCAGTAGCTTTTCCAGAAAAAAACAATTCGTTTTAATACATTATTAAAATATACTCTTTAAATATTGCATTCAAAAAGTATTCTATTAAAGCCCTATAATTATATTAAAGTTTTAGTTGCTACATTTTGCTAAAAGAGATCTAAATAAATATAAATACATAAAAAATGTTGTATTTTATATATGTTCAATATCAACTAGATATACAAATTTTAACTATTCTTAAATATGTCTATTTATCACGAAATGAGATAAATAACACAATTTGGTATTTTTATTTGTTACTTCTTAATTAAATTATTTGTCCCAAATTAGACCCAATAAAATTTAACACATATTAAAATAATGTTTTAAATACAATGAACCAGTTGGACATTTTGCAAAGAAAATTACAATTTCTATGAAATTAACTGATTTATTAAAAACGTTATTTGCATGTTACCGATTATTTTATTTTATAATGTAAAAACTACGTCTGTTATGAAAGTTTTACTTTTTACAACACTAATTAAACTTTAAAATATGATTGTTATAAGCATGCATTATTTTTCTGTATTTGTGAGGTATTTTTTAATTATTATTAAGAAACATTTATTTTTACATTACGATAATTCATCTTACAAAATAAAATTTATAATATAAGAGATAAAATATAAAGAGCGGAAACATAACAAAAAATGGATTAACTGCCCGGATACCATGACTAATTAAGATTATGTTCTTGCAGAAGCGATAAACATACGTTAATTTAATTATAAAAAGGAAGCTTTCAATTGAGTGAAATAAATTAAATGCATAATTCTTAATTAGAGTTTTTCTCATAATTCATTTATTTTATTAACATATGGCAGAAATTCTTCTCTCCCAAATTAAAGAATATCAATAAAAAAAAGTTTTGATTGTAATGTATCGAAATAGAAAAACTATATTAAGCTAACGACTGGAAGTTTTTATACCATCTTACTCAAACGCGTACTTTTAGTGCATCAATGATGTGTACAACTAAATTTACTTTTTCTCTACTTTATTTTTTATTGACTGCAATTTTACTAATGTAACTTGAAGATGTTATAGTATAAATGTAATTGAATAAACTGTAAACTGCTCTCAATCAAAATACGCCTGAAGCATAAGTGCTATCACGTCAAATATTATTTTATGAGATTGTCTGAAATGAATCATAGTACGTGCCTGATGTAAATTAGAATGCTCAAGTTTGCTATGTTTCGTAAACCGCCTTTCACCAGAAGAAACATCATCAGGCAGATTACGAAGAATTTTAAATATCGCGTTCCGAAGAATTACAAAAAAAGAAATACTAACATATACACACCGCTTAATCAATGAATCATAATCATAAATTTTGGGACTTCAGTTTAGTATTGTATGTTTTAACACTATAGTTAGATTTTAGTATTTATTTATATTTAGAATTAACGATATAACCTTAATATTTTACCTCAGTTGAATAATTTATAAATAAAATATATAAAGTTTAAATTATATAGAAACATGATTAATGTTTCGAAGATGTAGTTAACACAGAAACGGAAATTCAATTAAAACCAATTTGTAGCTGAAATGCACGCCTCGTTCGTTTATTCAACTTTCAATTGCTTTCGTGCATTCATATATATTTTTAAACCGAATGCATAAATATGCATTCTAAATTTAAGCAATCTGCGATGATTCAATTTCAACCTAAAATTCGTATTTAAATATTATGCAGTTATATGGAAATTTGGACCAAACATATATTTAAATAAAATGTTTATTATTCTTTGAAACTAATAGAAAACATAGACTACTTTTATTTATATGTACATATAAATAAAAGTAATTTTGTGACTTAACCAAATATTGTTTTTATTTTTTTATTTTTTTAATATTTAAATATAGAATAGTAGAGCTTCGAAAATATCAAAATTATCATTTTTTTCACTTTATACAGTCCGGGATATTTGCGGAATCGATTATCCATATTATGCAAGGTATAAGTATTCTAAAATTAAGTATTAGTAACTAAATTTGTATTTTACATATAAGTTACTAATTACTTAATAATGGCTTCATTTCAATTTTTAATAAAGTATTTTATTTCCATCTATGTTAGTCAGCAACTTTTTACAAGTTTATTTTATTCAAAAAGAGTATTTTCAAGTCAGTGAATATCATTAATTGGATATATTTTAATACAAGCACCTTGAACAAGGTTCATGGTTGGCAATTAAAGAGTATTTTATGTTCACTAATATTAATTATCATATTATTAGATCGTATGGTTCGTATTGTTTGATGATCATAATACGTAATATATGATGAATAAATGCTTATTTGACTGGTACTGATTTATTGTAAAGGAATGTCGGTCTGTAGAGTGTTTTTAATATTTGTTTCTGCCAGCACTACGAACTAATTATTATTATATAAATAACTGATTTCCAGAATTGGTATCATATTTAGTCATCACTATTAACAATACGAACAAAATTTGTTCAATTTTTGTATATTTGGTTTTGAATTACTAGAAGACGATGTATAAGCGAGAATATTATATTATAGTTGTTTCGAGTTTGAAATATAGTACGTTGCCCCCGTAAACGAGTGTTTATTTAAAAAAAATACAATATTTATTGTAAGCATTAAACAACTATATAATAACATAAATAATAACGGACATGAAATAACAAACCACATGAATCATTGCAACGTGATAGCGTTTGCTTCAAATGTTAAATATTATTTTTCTTCTATTATAACAATTATTTCGTTTTGAATACACTACATCGGGATCGCTGCCCAACCTTTTTGACCTCACGGACCAATAAACCCAAAATTTTTAATCCCGCGGACCACTACAAGGACTTTTTTTTATTTAAAATAAGATTCTAAATATGAAATAGTATTTACATTGGGCGTTTTTTAAAAACGCAACTCAATAATGCGAAAATTGCAAAAAAAAAAAATAATGGTTTCAGAATCTAACATCTCATATAAATAACATCTCATCCATGGAAAGTCCATTTGATCCGCGGATCGATACCATTTGATCTGCGGACCGGTGCACCGGTTGGGGACCAGTGCACTACATAATTAGTCTGTTGAATAAAAGCATCAGTATTCTTTCAATTGTTAAGAGAAGATTTGTATTTCGTTTAAAATATAATAAGTTTATTGAAAACACAACAATTGCTTATATTCAAAACCAAATAATAATGAAATAGATTCTTTCTAAGGGAAACAAACAAATTTAAAGTCAGTTCAAAAGTTCAAATTAATAGAATATTATGTAAATAATCTTCTTCATTCTTTCTGGAGGCTTTCACCTCGTATGATACACTTAGCCTGTGTCGACATAATTACGTCAGGCCAGATCTTTGTACTTATTCAAGGGTTCTATAAAATCATAGGAAAGACAAATCGAACCTTCGATAGCTCAGTTGGTAGAGCGCTGGATTGTAGCTCGAAATACATAAATAATGCAGCTTATAAACAATCAAATTCCAGACTTTTGAAATTCCAACTGTATCGAAATCCCGACAACCATAATCCTGACTATATGAACATCCCGACTATATTAAAATCCAGACAACTATAATCATGACTGTATCAAAATCCCGACTATATCGAAAATGTCTTCAATGACATTTTTAAATTATTCCGGAGCGTAGTCACTTTTAAATTGTTATTAATAATAATTAATAACAATTAATAATCTAATTGTATTTGAGATTATTTCATAATGTTAAGGTTTATTATGAATAATTCAACAAAATCAAATAAATTAATAATAATTTATTGTTATTAAAAATTAAAATGTAGCACAAGGTGACTGACTACACTCCGAAATCATTTAAAAATGTTATTGTAGAAATTTTCAATATAGTCGCGATTTTGATACAGTCGGGATTTTGATATAGTCGGGATTATGTTTGTCGAGATTTTGATATAGTCGGGATTTCTATAGACGGTATTTCGGTTGTCGGGCTTGCGATATAGACCCACAGTAATTAATTATGCGCAACCAGTCGTACTGAAGTTAAGTTTTGATGGTTGCAATGATAAATATATCCTTTCTTTAGTTATTTTAGAAATATTGTTATGCAGATGTAATATTAATGTACTTTAAGAATATAATATTATTGATAATAAAAAATGAGGTAATTATTTTTTGAAGTATTGTTTATTGGTCAACTTCACATGCATAAAGTGTTTTGACAGGACAGTTCTGACAACTTCTTTTCCTCATGGCCGGTTGTTAGTTGACGAGTGCTTGTGAATCCAGTGCAGATTTCCATCATTTGTACCAATTAAAACATTGGGTATGTACATAACTCGATTCGTAAATACACTTATCCCATTATTATTTTCATATTTATGATAAAATACTTGTCACTTTTGTACTGCAATTAGAAGAACATATGTTTTCGCTTCCGTTTGTAGGTTATGACCTAAATGTTAAGAAGTATTTGCATTCTGAGAGTGGAAAAAATGTTCTAGTTCCGTTAAATTTGTTGTCTTTGCTTCAAATTTATAAACCTATTACTCAACTATTGAATAATTGCTGCAGATTGAAACGTGATTTTATGCATGTTGAACAGATCTGCGCCTAATTTCAAGCCTGTCATTAATTTAAATTTGTTGCAGTTTGTAAATTCATATGTAATATAATTTTTTTAGGACCATGTCACGAAGAAAGGTGACTGAAGAAACAGACAAACTAACCCGTATTGCTATTGTCAATGTTGACAAGTGTAAACCGAAAAGATGCAGGCAAGAATGCAAGAAATCATGCCCTGTGGTCAGGATGGGCAAACTGTGTATAGAGGTGTCACCTAACAGCAAAATAGCCTCTATTTCTGAAGAGCTTTGCATTGGTTGTGGTATTTGCGTCAAGGTATAATTTGCATTAGAATTCAATTAATGTAATTTTAAACATGTTTTTTTTTTTAGAAATGTCCCTTTGAAGCTATTACCATTATTAATTTACCAAGCAATTTGGAACGCGAAACTACCCACCGTTATGGTAAAAATTCTTTCAAGCTGCATAGGCTGCCAATCCCTCGTCCTGGCGAAGTGTTGGGACTGGTGGGTACCAACGGTATTGGTAAATCGACTGCGCTGAAGATTCTAGCTGGTAAACAAAAGCCGAATTTGGGACGTTTCACCGATCCTCCAGACTGGACCGAAATCCTCAGCCATTTCAGGGGTAGCGAATTGCAGAATTATTTTACTAAAATATTAGAAGACGATCTTAGGGCTCTTATGAAACCACAGTACGTCGACCAGATCCCTAGAGCTGTTAAGGGTACCGTAAACGATTTATTGAAAAGGAAATGCGATTTGGGCAATATGGAAAGAATCTGCGATAGTTTAGGTAAATAGTACATATTCTGTATAATGATCATTATTTTCATATATTTATTTGATAGATTTGCAACATATTAAGGATCGTGAAATTTCCGCTTTATCTGGAGGAGAACTTCAGAGATTTGCATGTGCCATGGTGTGCATTCAGAATGGAGATATTCTGATCTTCGATGAACCTTCTTCGTACTTGGATGTCAAGCAACGTCTAAAGGCTGCTCAAACTATTAGATCATTGATGCAAATCGATAAATTTGTTATCGTCGTAGAGCACGATTTGAGTGTCTTGGATTATTTGTCTGATTTCATTTGTTGTTTGTACGGTGTACCAGGTGCCTATGGAGTAGTTACTATGCCTTTCTCCGTACGCGAAGGAATTAACATATTCTTAGATGGTTTCGTACCAACTGAGAATTTGCGTTTCAGGGATGAATCGTTAGTATTCAAAGTGTCCGAGTCAGCTTCCGAAGAGGAAGTTAAGCGTATGAACCATTATGAATATCCTCTCATGAAAAAGCAAATGGGAACCTTCAAGTTGGAGGTGAGGTCAGGGCAATTTTCTGATTCCGAAATCCTGGTACTTTTGGGTGAAAATGGTACCGGAAAGACAACCTTCATTAGGATGTTAGCCGGAAACTTGGCACCTGATGAGGGATCCGGTGACCTCTTGCAATTGCACATTTCATATAAGCCGCAGAAGATCAGTCCCAAATCTCAAGGACTTGTCAGGCAATTGTTGCATGAGAAAATTAGGGATGCTTACATTCATCCGCAGTTTGTGGCCGATGTTATGAAACCGCTGAAAATCGATGATATTATTGATCAAGAAGTGCAGAACCTTTCTGGTGGTGAATTGCAACGTGTTGCTATGGCTCTATGTTTGGGTAAACCTGCTGACGTGTACCTTATCGATGAACCTTCTGCATACTTGGATTCCGAACAGCGTTTGGTCGCAGCTAAAGTAATTAAACGTTTCATTTTGCACGCCAAGAAGACTGGATTCGTAGTCGAGCACGATTTCATCATGGCTACATATCTGGCAGATCGTGTTATCGTTTTCGAGGGTCAACCAGGTGTAGACACCGTGGCTCATTCCCCGCAGACTCTTCTGAACGGAATGAATCGTTTCTTGGAATTACTGGGTATCACCTTCCGTAGGGATCCCAACAATTTCCGTCCACGTATCAACAAGCAGGCCTCTGTTAAAGACGTGGAGCAGAAACGTGCAGGAAACTATTTCTTCTTGGAAGACTAAGGGGCGTTTTTGGGAAGCTATATTTTGTACTGTAATCGTTTTCGTTTACAAGTTCACTTTTACACACCGAAACACTCCATACAATCCATTAGCGAATTAATTTTGTTATTATCAACGTAAACAAAGGATGGTGGTTATTGATAATTGTTAATCCGTTGTATGTATATGAAATCTATGAAATGAACAGTATGAAATATAATTTTTAAGGATCACACGAGTTTTCATTTCATTTTTACAGCATTTTTCAACGTGCAAAACATTTTTATATACATATAAACATAAGGAATTATATAGACTTTGGTATAAAATAAATATTTTATTCGATTTTTGTAATTACATATTTTATTTATAAAAACAATGCTCTACACTTTTGACACGTACTAATGAAATTCATTATCTCTATTTTAAAAACTAAACAGTGGAATTCCAAATGACCAAGTATAATTTTACTCAGTAATTGGATGAGACATAGTAAATTTATAAATATATTGAATAAGAGTCACGGACAATTTTCCAATTCGTTGTTATTCATACTTTGTTTATTCCAATTGACCAACAGATTATACTTCTTATGCATTCATAAGAATATTACGCTATCTATATTTGCTGCAATTACTTTCTATATAAAGCTGTACATCAGGTTTCACAAATCCGCGGACCGCATGCAGTGTCCAAACAAATGCTGCCCACCAAAAAATTGTAAACTTACAAACTTTATGAGATTGTAATTATTTTGCTTTATACCTATCGTTAGTGTTAATACATTATATGTATGACCAAAAACTAAAGTGTTAGGAAAATAATAAAATTATTTTAATAAGTTTTGAGTCTAACAGAATTGATAGACATTTCAAATATGTACATTGACACATACATTTATTATGTTGATATTACATATCTTTCAAAAGTGTTTTAAACAGTATGATACAATACTAATTTCATCTTGTGATAATTAACAGTTTGGTTTCATCAAACTGCAGATTCTAAGCCACGGTTTCCCAAACTATTCTTGAAACGAAACACTTCGTAAATCCTGAAATTTTCACGAAATAACACAAAATCAATGAAATAAAAAAAATGAGAAAAACATTAATTATTTATTTAGTAATTATTTCATTCCAGATTTTCACAGAACACCTATTAACTTTTTGCGATGACTATAACGTAATGATTTACAAATATTGAAACATAAATGAGTTCAAAAGAAATAATTATTTATATGTAAATAAACTACCAGTTTTGCAAAAGCAAATATGGCAGAAAGTCTTCCCACCAAATGGTGCCAATAAACATTTATAAGTAAAGAAATATACTAATAAAAATGTGCCAATATGATTTATATTAGCAAATCAAATAAATATTATATTTTAATTAAGCAAATAAATGTATATAACGGTATGAACAAAGTCAAGAACCTATTGTGTATGTATACCAAATAAAAAGTAATTATCTATTACAAACAGCTACTGAACTATAAATAATTACTTTATGATACATTATTGAAAATACGATGCATGATATAACTGAAAATTAGATATCTAAATTTATATTTGCTAAAATTAAATAAATACACATATGTTAATGAATGTTTGTATATTATATTTGAATATGGACCAAATTGAAGATTGCAGAAAACAAAACCTAAAACATGCATGTAAAATAATTGTTTAGAAAAATACTACGTAATACGTATGATTCAACGATCCATCCTTTATGAAAACCAGTCATCATTTTATCTGTACAATATTTACTAATCACAGTCTATAACATTATATTCTTTGAGATATGATTATCAGCACACTTTTTATAGACAAAAGGTTAAAAGAAGATTATAGTAATCTTGTAATGCATAGCAAATATGCAGTCACACCCATTGAGTGTCAAGTACTGAGAATTACACTGAACTTTGTTTGTAAATGAGCATATATTCTGGTGAATTCTAACGTTTTGTTAAGATCTATGCGATTGTTAAACATGAAATTGCAAATTGAAATGGACATTTATGTATTTTCAATAATTGGAGCGAGGAAGAAACGCATGCGCGCTATTCGAAAACATCTACCTGTTCCAAGCAAACTGCTGGAATCCTCTTTTCGTTCCATTCAACCTCTGTGGGTGTGGTACGATTCCAACAAGAACCGTCTGTTTCCCAGAATACCATCTATTTAAGTCAATTAGTAAGTGAATAACATTGTGCCGTTGCCAATTGGTTTATCATCTGCTTGCAAAGCGAAAATCCAAATAAACATATTGATCTTCCCATATAGCAAATAAAAAAATATTAATAATTACACCTACTCCCTTGAGGCTTTTGCTGCACACTGCTCCACTTACGTCTATTGATTATTTTTCAGACCTTTTCTTAACACTTAAATATATATAAACTTATACAAAATAATCGTAACGGATATGCTGTTATTTAAGGTCAAACCACGAGAGGTGATAAGAGCGTACATTCCGAAACCTGGTACCACTATTATTTCATCCGCTCCTGATATTCAAGTAATTCCAATTTGCTTTCTATTTACAAATTGAATATAAATAGAAAATGTCAATCTCAGCTAAATTTAATCATGACCGAAAGCGTTATTCGCGCACATCTTTCCTATCAAACATTCAAATTGCATTTCGATATATTTAACATTATTCGCATCCATTCAAGTAGTATCTGACGTTTTCAGAGTAAAAAGTATTTGGAAATGCGCCAGGTTTTTGTTTAGATATATATTTTTTTAGGAAACACCTAGTATTTTTAGACGCATCTCATTTTTCGGGATACATCGATTTTTAGTCCTTATATTTTACTCTGAAGCTCTGCTTTCATAATAGGTCTGACCTATATCGTCAAGGCCCTTCACTATATTAACATCCGGGGTGTAAGGCGATTGTATTGATCATGAATCATGTGCCGAGTCTCAACAATTGCAGGTTTATTATGCGTCAATCAAAAAAATTCTAGATGATTTTAACAGATCTTAGTCACTGTGTAGAATTGCAAAAAGAAATATGAAACAATTATATACGTATATTTTGTGTACAAGTATGATATAGCGATGACATCATTTCCATGTAATTTGTTGCCCACCACTACTTTTTTTCTTGACGACCTAGTCAAGAGATATATTTGAAAGTTAAACGAGCGAATTGAACGAACCAAGCTCAGTATCAGTCCGTGTTTCGTTTCAATAACACTAAGGATCTGTTTTTTCCTGTTTTCTAGTCGTCTGGAACCCCGACACAATGAGTAACCAACAGTATTTCCCATTCAAGGTAAGCACATAAAATATAACGCTATTTACATAACAAGCCGTCGAAGTTCCTATACATTGCACATCGTAATTTACCACACACCGAATGTACCTGAATTCGTGCCACGTAATCGCATGCAAATTACACGTTTATCCGGTTCTCTCTCAAGCCAAATAATAACATTTACCGCCGTCCAACTGTTCCATTATTACATTGTATTTATCTCAATTAACAAAATTATGAGTTCTTACTATTGATTTTATATATAAATAAGGGTTGCTTTATATAATCCATTTAATTCAACCCAATTTAATTAATTATTTTTTTATTGAACAAGGTAATCAAATTGATGTAATAGCCGGAGGTAAAAATAAACAAAATTTGTCATAGCCAAAAATTACTTTTTTAAATTTATTAATATTCTAATTAGTTTTCAAAATTAAGTGATGTGACCTATTAGACTAAAAACAAACAAAAAATATGTGAATATTTCTAAAACCGCATACTTGGTTGTACGCAATTAAATAACTCGAAATTTGTTCTTATGATTGTTGAATGAATCAATTTAATATTCTAATGGTATGTGTGTGTCTATTTTTGTTTGTTCGTGTCGCATTGTTTTCGAATGGAAATTTTCGGCACGAGATAAAACGAAGACCCTGAATCTTGAACCGGTGTAATATATTTTTTTTATTGGCGTGTTAATTGGGAACGTATTCAATAACCGACATCATTATGATGTCATTTCGAGTTGAATGCAGTACGTGAGATTATTAGTAATGGTTTGGGAATGTGTCTAGGTCAAACAACGAATTGATGCGAAACCTGTTTAGATTTCGCCATTTCCTGGCCTCCACGGATATAATACCTTCTCAATTTGGAACGATGACCTATGCTTTTATTATTATTTATTTATGTAAATTTTAATCTAATGTTGTACACGGTTTTGCACTCTGCTGGGCGTATGCTCTTCATCATCTATGGGTATCGAATTAATTTGAATTTGATTTCTTTAGTGTACACCAACTGTATTCCCGGCGGATCCTTTCGATCCTGTCGCCGATGCCGCCACCCTCCGCAAAGCCATGAAGGGCTTCGGTACCGATGAAAAGGCAATCATCGACGTCTTGGCTCGCCGCGGAATCGTGCAGCGTCTTGAGATCGCCGAGACCTTCAAGACTTCCTACGGCAAGGATCTGATCTCTGAGTTGAAGAGCGAACTCGGAGGCAAATTCGAGGATGTCATCGTCGCTTTGATGACCCCTCTTCCTCAATTCTACGCCAAGGAATTGCACGACGCCGTTGCTGGATTGGGTACCGACGAGGAGGCCATCATCGAGATCCTCTGCACTCTCTCCAACTACGGCATCAACACCATTGCCCAATTCTACGAGCAAAGTAAAAATACATTATTTTTTAAATTAGAATGTTTACTTAATTGGATCATTTTGATTTGCAGCTTACGGAAAATCTTTGGAAAGCGATTTGAAAGGAGACACTTCCGGTCATTTCAAGCGTCTTTGCGTTTCGCTCTGCCAAGGCAACAGGGATGAGAATCAAGGTGTCAACGAAGCCCAAGCCACCGCCGATGCGGAAGAACTGATCGCCGCTGGAGAAGATAAATGGGGTACCGATGAAAGCGCCTTCAACGCCATTCTGATCTCACGGTCCTACCAACAGTTGAGACAGACCTTCGCCGAGTACGAGCGTCTTACCGACAAGGACATCGAGGAATCCATCAAGAAAGAGTTCTCAGGATCCGTCGAGAAGGGACTCTTGGGAATCGGTAAGAACAATCGAACTTTCTCTCGGACGTTTGAAAGAAACGAAAGCAACAACAAAACAGAATGGTAATTGAATTGTTTTTTTTAGTGAAATGCGTGAAGAGCAAAGTAGGTTACTTCGCTGAGAGATTGCACGACGCCATGGCTGGGTTGGGCACCAAGGATAAAACTTTAATTAGGATCGTCGTTTCCCGTTCTGAAATCGATTTGGCTGACATCAAACAGGCGTTCCTCGACAAGTACGGAAAAACTTTGGAGAGCTGGATCCAAGTAAGTCTTTTTCCTCTCACTATCCATTCATTTATTACCTAAAACAGAAAAGTACAGTAGAACTAATCATCTAAATATTTCAATTTTGTATTATAATTACGTATTGGTGTGGGGATACTACTATGACTTCAAGTTTTTCTTCGCTTTACAGAGTACTATCTAATAATTAGTTGATGTAGATATTTCTTTATAGTGTATTTCTCTTTCAGTGTATTTTATTAAAGCCTTCTTAGCATGTATACTAACTAAACTCTCCTCTGTTGCTTGCAGGGGGACACATCGGGAGACTACAAGCGAGTGTTGTTGGCCCTAGTTGACTAAAAACAATCACTTCTCTCATTTGTACCTGTTCAATATAAAAAAAGAAATAAATCTATATATGAATCTTACGCACGTTTTGGCAATACAAGGGCTTATAACATATTATTACATAATTACTTGTCATTACGTTTCATCAATGTGTAGTGCACCGATAGAAGTTTATTGAAAATTGGATACATATTATGCTGTTTATTCGTTGCAGGACGACGTCGATGGCTCTATGCAACACTTGTTGATCACAATGACTGCCTATGGCTAAAAAGCCAAAAAAAACTACCAAATGTTCAACAATAACAGTCGTCAACAATTTAAAAAGTATTTTTATATTTAATGTTGTTATTAATTAATATAGTGGCCTTATATAATTCCTATATTGAGAAAAAATATAATTATTAAAAAATACACACAATAAAAACGTAGAGCTTTACTTGTTAAATTAAATAAGGATGGCAGTTATTAGAAAATACAAAAAAAAATGCAAATTGTTGTATAACTTTATTTATTCGAGGTGTGCATTTCTTACAACGGAATAACAAATCTTGTAAGTTGGGTTCTTAATATTTCTATCTATCTATAAGTGTAGAACTTTTTATTTAGAGTCACTCTTTAATTTTATTTTTTAAATACTTTATTATATTTATACAAATAAATAAGTTTATTTCACATACTGTTATATATTGTTAATTGAAAAACAACGCTTCATTTCAATGGTGCTTTAATTCGGAAACATAAAAAAACTAAATAATAAATAAATGATTCTATATTTAGATCTGTAAGTCGTTTCATTATCCTGGCTACTTTATATATTGGAGTTTATATTCTCCAATTGGGACTACTAGCTCTGCTGATCTTCTGAAACGTTCGGGTCGTCTTCCTCTTTCCCATGTTGCATAGTTTAAAATGACACAGAGTCAAATCTGTAACAAGGACTAAATAATCTTAGGGCCAACAATTGTATATAATATGCATTATATACTTACAACAAACAACAGCGACAACAACAACAGCAGGAATGATAGGTGTATTGGATATGTAAGTAGCTAATGGAAGGATTATATATTTTTAATTATATTTATGTTCACATCTTTCATATGAAACATACGTGGTCTGTATACTAACGTCTAATCAGAGTATTTGTATTAAAATTAGCTTAAAATAAAATAATAACTAGTATATGATATTTATGCAGTTGTGCTTTCAGAAGTTTAAGACAATTTTATGCGAAATATTGAAAAGCTTCTAATAATAGAAAACATACATCCACATTCTTTGTAAATTCAAAGAATGTGTATGTACTTGGCAACAGCCTAAAACTGTTACGAGTATAAAAAAAACTTGTCTAAATATAAATACTATTTATGAATGTAAACATAATTTATCTGCATTTTCGAAGAAAAAATGTTTATTTTCTCTTTAATGTGAATTGCTATATGTTATGTAAAACAACACTAGAACATGTTAGAAAGTGACCATTTATTAACCTGCTCCACTTTATCCATATTTTCATCTACTTGTCCTTAGATTTTAAAGACTCTTCCCCAAATAGTTATTAAATATTATATATAGCGTCTTAAGAGAACTGCGTTATAGAAGAACTATTGTAATTGTTGTTATATGGAAACCGAATTATGAGAGTATAACTTTAAAGGAGGGTTTACTGTTAATATATATCCTTAATTGTTTATTTGATAACAACAGTTAATCATTGTGTGACATGAATAATATCTAAATGGGCGACGGATGTCCATTGACAACTCGGATACAAAATTATGACAAATTTGATAGAGTAATCTTACTATGAAAAAAATACCCATAAATGAAAAGGACAATAATAAATTGTGTAATTTCTTCAATTCTAAGAAGTAAAACATCAACATTTGACAAAATTTAGCATATAGAGTATATATTCAGTATAAATAGAATTGATTATTTATTGGCCTATTTATCTTAGACACAAATTGACATTTTTTTTTCAGAACTTATTCGCTTGAAGAAAGGAAGTATTGTAATTATAAAGTATATTAATTATATACTTTGGATTTACAACTTTAAGAGAACTCACAAAGTTCTTAATAATTTAAAATGCTAGTCTAGATGAACCTTGAACCGAATTGTACACCATTTCTCGAATTGAAAACAAGAACGAAAATTTTCAGATCATAATTAGACATTATTTAACATTATTAAAATATTCAATGAGAAGAAAACAAAAGTTCACATATTTTTTGTGTCCTGGGGAATTGAAACTAATTAATCAATGTGGAAATTTAACATACACTTAAATAGGTCAAAGTTTCAATGAATTCAAAGAAATATGAAATATAATATATATGAACTAAGGAACATTATTTATTTTAATACAATTTATATCTATTTTTCCAATTATTATTTTCCTTTTTGTTGACTATGATTAATTATCATCATATTTAATTTAATAACAACACACATTCTGTAACTTAAACTACACTTATAAAAGAATGGAGTATCCTGTATAGATTAGAAATAAACTACGAATATAAAAAGATACTCTATAATCCAAATAATTTTTCTAAATTTATTATAGCATGAACTTTTCCACATATGTTGTAACATTAGAAAAAATCATCTTGCATACATATTTAGATTACGTTATTATTATCACATTCAGCTCATCATTGCAAACACAAGATAATTATAGCTAAAATGATAATAAATATAGATAGTCAAATTTATTTATACTAAAACCACAAACAAATTAGTAATTCTACATTTATTCAACTAAGATTTTGTTTGAATTCACTTTAAAAATTCTATTTACAATTAGATAAAAAAATTATACATACAAAATAACTGGTATCAAAATATCTTTTTAAAAATAAATATATAACATTCGTAGTTTATATTTGTATTGCGAACAAACTGTTGTCTTAAGAAATTAATAAATTATGTTAGTTATTGTTAATGCGTTAATTATATTATATTACATTAGTACTTTTTAATTATTATATTTTTCCTTACAGTTGAATGCTATAAATAATATTATTTTTATTGCTTTGTTGTTGGTCACTTGATCATCTTTGTCGTATACACTTATCCCTCGTTTTACACGGTACTATCTTAGCACGTTTTAGCTTTTACACGTTTAAAATAAATTATAAATATTTTTTTAAACCTTAAGAAAAAATAACTTAACTTAAGAATAAACAACGAAATTATGCGTTTTTGTTTTGCATACTTTTCGATTTACACGGTTTTACATTCAAAACGTACAATTTCGATTTACACGTTTTTCTTAGGGACTTAACTACCGTGTACGGGGGAAAAGTACATACTTTGAAACGACACGCTGCAACAACAAGATTTCGTACTGCACTATACTTTTATGTTTTATTAGTTTAAAAATGTAATGAATTAATCGAAATTTTTGAAGTTCATGAATAGTTTAAAGTAATATTGGAATGTAGTATAAAAATAAAGAAATTATAGATAGAAGAAACATGTCTCAACAATTTATAGTAAAGTCCTGCATGCTAAGCGTACATAAAGATAGTTTGACCTTTAAGGGAATTTATGGAATAAGGAAAGACGTGTCTTTGCAAAGGGATAATTAAATCAGGTTGTAAAATCAACACCGCAGCAATGGCACATTGTTTTCATGAGGAAATTAAATATTTGGCCTATATTATTTCTTGAATCAGATCCTAAATAATATGCAATTCATGAATTATGACTAGAGAGAAAGATATATTTACTATTAAGAACAGCAATCGAAGTAATTCTGTAATATTCTTGTTATTACAAAGTGATAAATGATTATATAATATAAGCTTAAATGCAGAAATTGGACACGTGCAGATTATTGCAAATTCCAGCGAGGTTTCCCACTTTCGGAAGCAAAGGACTCGCAACAATGGGAAACTTGGGTATACTATGCTTACATTGAGTTGCGTAATTTATTCCCTTGTCAAGTGTATTGAGTATTAATACGCAGAAATGTTTACAGAAAGAGTAAATTCCGATTGTCAAAGCTCATGTGCACTTGCACATGATGCAGAGGAAAATTTAGATCATTGCTAAAAGTGCGATATCGATACGCAAATCCCCAATCGATTTCCATAATAATTCAATTGAATTCGCCAATAAATTACGAAACATTGAACGACATAGTTGGAATTTCAATCTGCAAGTGACTAATAGATAAACAGATCAGCGGAAAGTAACAGGAAAGCGAAATAAATTGATGATAATAATAACAGTATTATTAGCCAGATGGAAAAGAATGAGTGCATTTCATGATACGTGTATATTAATAATACAAATGGACGATTCTTTTTGAGTTGTGTTTACTTGGCGAGGGGATGATTCTGGTTTTTCAAATTATGATAAGAACTCACATCGCTTTTTCCTTTGGCGACGGATTTTTCCAGGTGCGACTTCCGGTTTGAACGGTGACACCCCATTCCACGGATACGATTCCTCTGAATACAACCTGTTGATGCTCTGCGACACGTACTGCAGTTCATCGGCGATTTTCTCGTCCTAAAAAAGTGATCATAAAATGAGCAATGAATCCTACATTTTCCATAATAAAATTGCAAATGTTGCAATTGGATTTAAAGATATTTGTTTAACTTAAGACATACATAATATGAAATTGAAATGTATGTAAAACATATAAAATAATTATGTCATAATGTTTTTCATTCATTAATATTTTCGAATTTTTATTAATATCTAGCAATTTTATTCATTCTTTTATATTTCTTTATTTTATATTTATTAAAGACAAAACATATTTTAAATTAACCTACGCTCCGTGTATTGCTACAGTGAACCTCGCATTACGAGCAAAATGAATTGTAAGAGAAATGACTCGCTTAACGAGTGAAGTTTCGCATAACGAGTAACGATGAGAGGAGCAGTCCCATATTGCGCACCTGCTACATCATTTTTAAAACTGGTGTACACATATTATGTATATTTTTGAATATGTTTCACTATACGAGTAAAAATCCGGAAATTTTGCAACGGATTAAATTCGTTAAGCGAGGTTCCACTGTCTGAAGTGGAAAGAAATACCTCGCATAATGCGTTTAATCGTAATTCCTCCATTATCTCAGACTATTTCAAACAAACTAACGAAGGAACTAAATACAGAAATACCTCGAATAATGCAGCTTCAATTAGTCCAGATTTATTATAGTTTGGTCTGAAAATTTCAAAATGAAACAAATCTAAAACATTAGTTACTAATCTGTTACCTTTATACAGTCATTATTAATTATATAGTCCTGTTTCAAACAGTCCAGGATATTGGCGGAACAAATTAAAGTTATTCACTCACTGTTAAGATACAAATGGTTGAATCAGTAAAATCAATGATACCCACGCAGTTTTAAATCAATATTCATATTATGATTCATCAATCTGGAAACACTCAAACAAAGCAATGTGTGATCAACTTGAGATTAAATTTAGAAAATAACTAACCAATTGTTCTTACGTTCTCTATATGATCCACATTTTTTATTGTATAAATAATTCTTATAATAAAAAAAAAACTTATAAGATCAATAAAAAAAAAGAATAAAAAATTAGAAACTAAAGTAATAAAAAATCTGTTTTTTTAATTATTGTTTATTTTAAGAATAAATTTCCAAGTTTAAATAATAATTGTAAATATATGAGTGTATAAGAATATATTAAATAATGAGGTACTTTTGATATGAATGTAGCAATAAAATGCAACATAATTGTTGTAATTTTAAGAATATTATTAACCTCGAGCAATCGAAGCACTACGCGGTACACGAAAACCAAGTTGGGTATTCCCCTTTAACATCGCAGCATCGCAAACAATTAAAATTGAAACGATACAAATCGAAGTTCTATGATCCTGATTACTACTAACTTTCGATCAGTTTCAATTCACTATAATAAAAAGTTTGAAAATTTCAAAGCAAACTACATTGTAATTGAAAAAATAATAATAAATTCTAAATTAGTACACAAAATTAGCCCGGTTTCAAACAGTCCGGGTTATTGGCGATATTAAGGTATTGCATAAATAGGTATTCTGCTGTACTTATTATATTACATCCAACTGTAGACAGTTACTAAATGTGTAAAATGTAAATAGATTAATTTCCTAAATATTTTATTGATATGCTTACAAAGTGGAAACGTTATTTCGTATTACATTAACATACATGTAACACATCATAAAAATAAGTTCAATTATAATCAAACTTGGGACCATTAGAGCGTTCATTATACTTTCTATAACTTCAAATTTTATTGGAATTTGAAACCGTATATTTTTTTTATGAATCATCATTAAATTAAACATCATTATATAAAATATTGTTCTAAAAAAACCGGTTGTCGAATCTCAACTTTTCTACAAAACCGTTTTTAAATTTTGACAAAAAAAGGATTTCTACAACATATTTTCTTTTTCTCATAAAATTAAACTTAAGGAATCGAGATTATTACATAAAACTATAAGAAAATGCAATTTTTGTCTAATGAGAAAACAAAGTGAAATTTAGACAACTTTATATTAGTTTTGAATTATTCTTACTTCACCCCTTTTTAAATTACTTCTTGGAAATGATATCATTATGATAAGAAGGATACAATTTATAAATGATAAGTAAATATTTTAATTCCGTACTAAATCTCCTTGGAATGCGATATAAAATTTCCTACATCTCCTATTATACTAACATAGTATGGAGATCATTTATTTTTATATTTTAGATTAAAACTACATATTACAACATTTTTTCCGTCCTTTGTGTTATATTTTTTAATTGCAAGAAGTTTTGTAGAGTAATAATCTTTAAATGGCATCGATAGGCAAGAAATCATATAAATTCTGTATCATTTCTTCAATATTATCATTATATACAATTAAGAAAGCAAACAAAGTGCTTTCAGGAATACTGCATTAACTCGCAAGTTCAGTTTTTTTATTAATTGTTTGTACCTTGTATTAAGTAGCAAATAGATCAATCTTAATACATTTCATATGAATGTAAGATATTAAGAATATTTATATAATAAACATCGCGAACCATCAGGAAAATTTTCAGACCTACTGTTTACTTAATTATATAACAACAAACAGAGGCACTTGTGCAAAATCACTTCGTTAAACATTTCGCAACCGTTCTTTCGCTTTGCGAAACTCCGGTAGCGAATTTTCCACCAACATTTCAAGGTACTTAAAAAAACACTCAGTTTTCACATACGGTAAAGCCGATTTTCGCGCAATTTTCATTAGTTAAATTACGTTTCATACACATGGGATTATATAATATAATTAAAAACAATTCGCATTTGCAATGAGCAAAAATGTAGCCTTTTTTCTAATTCAATTAATTTACAATATAGTTTAGTAAATTTAGCTATAATTAAGAATTGAAGATGCATATTTTTAGATTTTCAGAGGTTGCATCTAACGCCCAAAAGAATCGTGATGTTGACGTTCCAGCAGATCCATGACCGAATTCGTAAATGTAAATATTTTAGGATGAACTTGGTTTGGAATCGAGAACAGACAAACTGAGTCACATCGTAACAGTGTCAGGATTTGTTTTGCTTTCGGTTGGCAAAGAGGATTCCGTACGTGCTAATTGCAATTTGATTGAATCGATGTGTGTGGTTTCGCAAGGGACGACGCGTGGAAAAATTGGGTGATCAGTAGTTTTGTGCCTCAACGCGCATTAAATCGGTGTCAACGGTTTAACGAGTATTGCAAAACGCTTCCGAAAATGAAATCGTGTAAACAATTAATATATTGGATCCAATTAAAACGCATCAAAATTTGACCGTTCGTTAAGCAACGGATCAAAAGATAATCCACACCGTCTGGCACCTACTAACTGTTTGCAAAACTATTCCTATATTTATTTCCTGAAATTATTTTGCAACGTATTCATCGCAATAAAGCAATTATTTCTACAAATAAAGCAAACTCGTAAACTTAGTTTATCAAACAATTTTACTCAA